CTTGCCCTGCGCTCTTCCTTCTGACTATGCTGTCTGTGTTGAGCGCTCAGTGGATCTGCGCTCGACAGTGCAGCCTAGGCGGAGTAGTCGAACGCAGATTCACTGAGCGCTCAGCACAGACAGCATCGTCAGAAGGAAAGTTGATAAAATAAATTACAAATGTTGTATTGTTCGATACATATACGTACCAAACCGAAAGCACTGTATCGAACGGTTCAATATCGATACGAATATCGTTGCACCCCTAGAGGATGAGTGTAAATATTATTTATTGGGTGCTATAAGAGGATTCAGCAAGCATGCATATTAACGTTTATTAGTAATAATAATGTAATTATTGGTTCTAGTACATGTCAGTGTCCTGCATTACTACATAAATGCTAGTAGTCCCTTTTTTTTTTTTAGGTTGCCAGGCAACACGGTGGCATCATATTATAGCAAGTTCATGTTTCAGTTCACCTGATTGTTACTAGCTTTGCACCTTTGCCAGATCATTTACCAACTCTTCATAACCTTGTAAATAGATTTTTTTTTTTTAAAGGTCTAGCAAAAAGCTCCCGTACTTATTCCTTTGCATTGCAGGGACATCTTGCTCTCCTGGCACAGCAGTAGCCTGTCTCCTTTCCTCTCTCTCTGCTGTGTTTATTGCTCTGAGCTAGCAGCGAGGTTGCAAAGAGAGACGTGGGGCAGCTGTGTACAGAGAGACCGATTAAGAGATCTCAAATGTGATTGGAAAAAAGCGAGACTTCTGTTGTTGTTTGTCTGAGTGACCATTTTATGCGCAAGTTAAATGGTTTGCAGAATCATAGCATTGCCATTGTCTCCAAACCCTATGATTCCTCCTCCCTCTGCTCGCCTGGAGAAGCTTTGATTGTTTCTCAAGCCCAAAAGTTGTATTTAGGAGAAGTATATAGATTTCTTCTTCTTCTTTTGGCTTCTCCATTTAGGGGTCACCACAACAAATCACCAGCCTCCAACCTCTTCTGTCACCCCAACCCTCTGCATGTCCTCCTTCTCTGTGGCCTCCCTCTATTCCTCCTGCCTGGGCAGCTCCATGTCCACTACCCCTCCTCTGCTCATCAAGACAAATATTAACCGAAAAGTATGTAATCCCTCAGAAATATGTCCTGTCATCTTTACACGCCTTGTGAGAGTTGCAGTTTTTGCAAAGATGGAAATCACAGCTGAGCTCTTTTCTCTTTTTTTCTTTTTCTTTTTTTCTTCAGCAAAACAAAAGCAATCCTACACAACAGGCATCGTTTCAAACAAGCAAGTCCAACTGTACTTTAAGCCAAGTCATTAATTCTCATCTGCACCTGGTCTTAGTCCAAGCTGAATCTACTCTGTCAATACTGTCCCTATCCCATTAATCCCCATTAACATTGTAGGCAGTAAAGGGCAGCTCTAAACGGTGTATTGATATTATATCAAGGCCTGGAGCTCCCTGGCGTCAGAGCTGTGGGATGAGAGTCTGCCCAGTTTCACACTCTGCAGCATACGACTGGGTTTGGCTGCGCTAGTGTCTGTGAATGTGGGAGTGTGTCGCATATTTTAGGGATTAACGCAGCAATTTGGCCAACTAAAATTAGGATGTATTTGGGTGGACAATATGTTTTTCGATGAATTTCAACGGCAGAAAGACAAGGTTCAGAGACCTGACAAGCAGAAGAGTTTGAAACTGAACAGTTTTCTGAAAACTGAGTTTTGGATCAGAGGGTCAGACGGTGCTTTTCATTCATATTCAGTATTCATATCATCTCTAAGCCAGCAGAGACCACAGAAGTACGATGAAGATATCACTGAAGGTGCAGATTTAAGTCAAATGTGTGTGTCTCTCCCTCCAATACGTCAGAGAAAGGAGGAAGTTTGTCATTTGTATAAACCAAAGGTCAGCTCGGATTGAATTCCCTTGTGGTGTAAAAAGGGCAAGGCCAGAAATGCCAAAAGATCTTTATAACCATAGTGCGAAAGCATGTGTGAATACAAAGGGGTTTGTCATCTATACTATGCTAATCCTAGAGGTTAAAACTGTACATATTCTCCTTTTCCTTTCTAAAATCTCTGCCCCAGTGGTGAGTTGACAAAAATGATTCAGGCTCTCAAATGGCTACTCTGGCAAAACGCGTTCCAGCTGCCCCGACAGCTTGTTGGAACGGCTTTAACTGAGCATACTTTACAGCTCTGACAAACACTCTGACAAGCTACTCTCTACTGTAAACCAATCTTTATAAACTATGTGTATATATAGCTTTGCTCGCATTTTCTTGTCATAGAACAGCCGGTAACATCAACTCAAGCCGAGTGGTTCTTTGTCTGAAATGCTGGATAAAAACGATCTCTGTGCATGCTGGAGCACTGTGTTAATGCATTGATGATTATAAAATCAATAGACCTCTTCCTGCACATGTATAACTCCCATCTTTCATTGTTTGTCCCTCTTCCCTGCCCTTCAGGCAGCCTTTCTGTGAGCGAGGTTGCGGGGCTGTTGGGGCAGGAAACCCTGCGGCTCCTGAAGAAAGAGTGCGGAGGTCTTCAGACGCTTCTGAGGAACAATCATCAAGTATTTAGAGGTAGCTTTTCTGCACGCTCCTCTACGTTCTCGTAGATGGTTCATTTGAAAGTTGTATTGTTGAGAACTAGACTGTTCATTAAGTACAATATAGTGCTTAAATGAAACCAGTGACAGTGAGAAAGATACTGGAGGTTATATGAGTAACAGAAAGGGTGTTAAATAAAAAAACGTTAGCTTCTTTTTAAAAAAGATTTTGTTTGAATTTTTATTTTCCAACAATTTAAATCATAGACTGTATATAAAAGATGGAGGCCTTAACCCTACTTTCTGGGGATATTTCAAAGTTACCCTACTTCTCGTTTGATTTATGACTTGAGTAAACTGGTAATTTTGGTTTCAAGTCTTTTTTAATAGATCCTTAAAAGAACGTCTTAATTAGAATACAGTTCATGCTTTATTGCTTGCACCTTGCTCGTTCGGTGTTCGTCAGTACAAAAAGCCCTCAGAGGAGTCAGCTGTCCAGTTTTTCCATTACGAACATTTTGTTTGTTTAGTTCTTCATACTAGCTTGCTAGCTAGCATTAGTCCCACCTCCTGGTATGGGCACTTCTTTAAAACCATAAGGTGGCGATGGCCTCGTTCCAGGTTGCAAAATTTTACCCATATGTTGACATCTTTTAACTACAGTGTATGCTTTTAAGACTTTTAAAAGGGACTATTTCTAAAGATAAACATGGCAGCAACGAAAACGTCTCACGCTCAGAACCACAATTTGGAAACAACAATCCAGGCCACAATTCTTTCAACATAACTGGACAAACACTTTTTAAAATGCAGTCCTGGAAGTCGTACTGTCGTTGACCGTAAAGCAGTGTGTTTTGCTGCTGTTCCTGGTTAAAAGTGTCAGACAGCAGGGTGAGAAGTATGCCTTCCTTCCCCCCCCCCTTGTGCTTGCCAAAACTCTTGAATCGTCCGATGCAAAGAGTTAATTTGCTTGGCGTCATGGCATCACACTGGGCTTTTGTTGATTGAAAAAGAGGGGAAATGAGCGCTTTTACCATCGTCATTTGGAATTTGGTTGGTCTCGAGGGATCAGTTTGAGAAAATTGGATCCCCTCCCCTACAGAAATTGCTTAGAGTGCAAGCAAAGTCAGACTTGAGATAGAAACAAAGTTGACATTTCTTTCTGATAATAGATAAAAATGTGCACGACTCTCGAAAGGTGAGAAGCTTATAACCTGTGGGGGTCAGCGCAGACATGACTTTTTCTACCCGGTGCCCTGACAGCCAGGCATCTATGTTGTGTTTTTCTCCTAATTTCTTTCTTTTAAGAAAATATTTATTTGTATCTTTTGATAGATTTTGTGTCTCCCTCTTGTCACTCTTTAGTTGAAGGAGGGCGTGTCTACATAAGAGACTGGCGGGAGAAGATGCCCTTCAGGGTGGATGTTAAAAGGAAGCCCGTCACCCCGGGTGCCCTGAAAACTCGCCTCTGCTGGTTTCACGCTCACCACCCTCAGGGCTGCCCCCTGCAGGCTGAAAGCTGTGCCTTCGCCCACGGAGCACATGACCTCCGACCCTCGACGAGACCGCTGAAGAAGATAAAGAATGAAGCCTTTTGATCGACTCGTTCTTCACGACTTTTCATTGACTTTGTTTGGATTTTTAATTTGTGCAGAGCTCTGCACATCGTTGTTTGAACTCTAGTTTCCAGCCCTGTAGCCTCAAAGATAAGATTCAGGTCCAAGCAGCGAGTTTTATTGAGGCAACGTTACATCATTTCTGGGAATTGAAGCCTTGAAATTTCACAGTCCTCTTTCGTCTTTGTAAGGCTGCCAACATGCAGTGCTTCCTGGTGGGGCTTCACTGCTGGAGCTCTCTAAACCTCTGGGTTATGTTGTCTTGTGAAATTTAATTTCAAAGCATCCTGTCTCCTTTTTATTTAACTGTTGGACTTTTGTCGAGTTCAGGTATACTTACTCACTATAAAGCTGATTTCAAGCTACGTCTTTGTATTTCTATTTAAAGATTATCAGCTTTGTGGTGGATCTTCTCCTCGCCCACAGCATAAAAACTCTAAAAGCTCCTGTAAACTTTCAGTCTTTAACTGCGTGCTTCACTTAGACATTTCATTCAGCTTAGACGTGTGCTTTGGGGTTCACAGACAGGGCGGGGGAGAAAGGCCGGACAGCGTTTGAACAAAGTAAATGTTAGCGGTATGAATTATTTGTTGGCAGGAGTCGAGGGCTGAGCTGCGTGTTGTCCCGTCTGGATGGGCGCTCACTGCTGCGTCTTTCTAACACAGCTTCCATCACCCTGTGGCTCAAATGTCAAAGACGGTAAGGCCCTCCGAGGGGACTGCAGCCGAGCAGTGAGAAGCGCCTCCCTGGGGTTTGTTTTGTGTATGTGACAGACAACAACCAGACCACTGATACAATAAAAACATTGTTTATACAATCAGTGTGTGGCAATGCGTTACTGTAATCTGATTACTTTTTTCAAGTAACGAGTAAAGTAAGGGATTACTATTACAAAAACGCTAATTATATTACCGTTACTTCCCCGTAGGAACGCTGCGTTACTGCGTTACTAAAACCGTGATTTTTTTTTTGCGAGAATGTCTCAGGACAGTGATGTAAGCGAGTGCGCTGTTAGTGACAACAGCTGTGGGCAGATCAACAATGGATCACATATCGATTGTGGGAGAGAGTCTTCTACAGCACCGTGTTGTGATTCAGCCACGTTGGAGGGTTTTCCAGCATGAACTGAATTTTTAAGGTCAAGTCACAGATCGTGTATTTGTTTGATGATCTGAAACATTTGTGAAACTTCTAGCAGAACCAGGCTCAGGGTGGGGCAGCCATCTACGGTGACCGGTTGGGGGTGAGGGGAAGAAGCTAGGACAAAAGACACACTGTGGCTCCTTAAAAAGGCGAGTGCCTCTCATAAAGTCCATACTGTGGTTGAAATGGACATCCTGAGGTTACGTACAGCTGACCGGGTGCTCGCACGTCTCCCTGCTCAGCGGCTTCGTCACTGAATATTGATGTGGATCCACAATCGTTTGCTCAGCCTGTTCGAAGGTTCAGTACAGCGAGGAAGAAAGTTCTCTGGAGTTTTTGAGTAACTGCGATCAGTAAATAGAAACTTCCTCAGAGATCAAAAAGCATTTAAACACAACCGATGCTTCAGCTGTGAGATGGACATAAACTGCTCAGTCGTAACGTGTATAGCAATGTGTGGATTTTAATGACCTGTTTAAATCACTTGTCCCCCTCCCACCATTCACCCCACTCTGTTATGTTTCTTGGAAGAAATGAAATGATGAAAATGCTCCTGCTGCTCTGCATCTGCAGAGATCATCTGATCGACCCGCTGCCCTATATTTAACTGCTGCGACATGGCCGGGGAGTGGAGGAGGTTACGTACCCATCCCAGCTCGACACTGTTGCTGATGCTGTTGTTGTGGTCTTTTTGGCCCCAGCCCTGACTGACACAATGACTGTTTATGTCTGTTTCACACCGCTACCCTGGAGATCAGTAAAGCAGACCCACCCTGTCCCTATAAAACGTAACAGGAAGTCTGCTGGCTACTCATTTGCAGTATGCCAAAAGGCAAAAACGGATATAAACAAAATAAAGTATGCATATGCACGTACATAGATTTAACCCTTTAAAGCCCCAAACCATGATAATTGAGTGTTTATTGAATGCTCTGACAATCTAAAAAATTATATTATTAATTATTATTATATTATTACTGCCTAAAAATGTACTGTGCAGCATCGCACTGATGATATGCGAGTCTCAAAAACTCATAGGATACACCAGACGTTTAGGGGTTAAATAAAGATGCAGTGCATACGTGGGTCGAGTCGCTGTCTGGGACTAAATGTTAAAACCAGACTTCATCTAGTTCAGCAAAGAAAAACAATTAGCAAGGTTACATAAATCCATTTTAGGAACCTGAGCGATATTAAAACATGTGGTTATTAAAATGCTCTTTCCATTATTGCTGAAGGATTGTCAAGTTTCACAGCCGGCTTTTTAGCCAATTATTTAAACCTCTTCTGACTTAAAAAAAATCAGTTTCCTGGGAGCTCCTCAGTGGGTGCAGCATTAGTATTAATTATAGTAAAAATGTTCACATTTATTGAAATATGAAAACTCATTTGGACTCGTGATTAGAGGCACAGAGGAACAGTAACAGTGATGTAATTAAACAGCCCTCCATCCTCTTATTCAGCCATAAACTGGAATTGTGAAATTCAGGACAAATTGTTTATCATTAGCATCTGTAGCTCTGGCCTCATAACTGCTGGGTTAGTTGTATTTAAGTAGCTTGGCTATCACAGTACAGATTGCAGATTTAGAGCTAGAATACATTGAGCAACTTTCTGGTCTTGACTCACTAAGCAGTCAAGACCAGGTCATGAAGACGGAAAAGAAGAAGAGCCCAGTCAAACATTTTTTTAATTTCTTAATCTGTAGATAGTTCTTTTTTTTGTGTGTGTGTTAAATATATTTCCAATGAGAGACAAGTATGCCATGAAAAAACTGAACACTTACGCAAAGAGCAGGCATCTTTTTGGAATTAAATTGCATGCAGAGAGACAAAGGCAGCAGTCGTTCAACATAGATCAAAGCTTTCATGGATGACCTGATACCAGCTGTATAGCACAGTAAGAACTATGGCTCAGTGTTTCTTTGCTGCCTGCAATGGAAAACTTTAAGATTCTGCTACATATCTTTGTCAAGTTGACTTCACTTAGTGAAAAAGCTCCATATGATCTTAATCTGTCTCCATGTGATCAACACTGCTGCCGACGAGCACGGCGAGGCTGGAGGAGAGGCCCAGGAGAGACGTGCAGCACACACACCTGATAGTTTATAACTTACGCTTTTCACACAAGCTATTTCCTACTGTGAAGACAAATTGTAAGTTTCCAGGTCCTTCAAAGGTCAGTGGCGGCTATGTTTCCTCTGTCAGGGCGTCAGGACAAGTGGTGAGAAAAAATCTTGTTTTATTACTAATCTGTAATCATGAATCAGTGGAAAATCTAACCTCAAACCTCATTTTTACTGCCTACCTGTTGCCACACAGGGACATCAAGCTGTGATCTGATGTGTTTTTTATTGTAATACCTGTACTGAGTTTAATCAATCTTGTCTAAATGGGTGACCTCCATACAGTAATAATAAAAAAACTAAACTAAATTTAAATATCAAATACTCCTGATTTATATCGATAAAAATAAAAGACCTTTAGATAATTAAGATTTTACTGAAATAGAAACATCTCAGTAGAAACAGTGCTAACATAAATGTGCAGCTAGCAGCCACACAGTTAACATGTTTGATGCGTTAAATCCACTCCTCGTGTGTCGCTCTCAAAGCGTGACAGTGGCAGACGGGAGGATTCGGGTCCTTTCAAACACGTTTGGTCAAATACAGTGCAGATCTTTGTCTTCTGTGCTATCCCAAATTCACAGGCAGGTGAAGGATGCTCTTCCCACTCCAGGAAAGGAGTTGTTTTGTCTGACAATTAACAAAAACAGAGGGGAAGAAGTAAAGCGCTATCTTACAGCAAACACCAGGTTTGGAAGGAAAAGCCTCTCCTCAGCTTTGTTGCTTCAGTTGTGAGAGAGGAAAGCTTTGCTCCGAGCTCCAGCCATCCGTCCAGTTCTGGGACAACAGAACAGCAGACACGAAGGAGGATCTCAACCCAACCACCGCCACGAGCTAGATATGTGTTCATTGTGTTTGTCATATTCTCTGTTGTGTAGTGCTGTGTGTAAATCTGATGCTGCCAAGGTATATTGATAACTCCCTGTCAGATGAGTGGGTTAAGTGTGCGCCTCAGCCAGGACGTGATGAAGAATCACAAGTTTTAGTATAAAAATGGACGTTTTGTCTCATTACTGCTTGTTACGCAGCAAGGAGTGGCATTAGCGTGCTTTCTGTATGACACGCTGGGATGAGTGTTTATGTCGTAAATCTGATTATCAAAATGAGAAACGCGGTGGGAATTTTTTAGGATTGTGCTACTTCACTGTGTCATTTTTGAGCTACACCACATGTTGATGCACAAATGATCTTTTGCACACAGTGATACGAATCTATTCTGTGACTATAGCCAACAGATAATTTGATCTGTGTTTACAGTCCCTGTTTGTCAGAAAAGCATTCAGACTGCTGTCATAGTCTCCGTACTGTTGTTTGACCCCTTTGCAAAGGAAAATAAAACTCACACAGACAACCTGGTTGTGCGCGCTTCAATTTATGTCCGATTTTTACAACACTGCCTCAGAAAGTGTAAAGCTTACTGTCACTGATCCAACAATAAATTCTCCATCATACCAGCACGTTTCAACAGGATAAAGACTGTGGAGCACACTGGCAAATCCTCAGAGAAACAAAACAGCCAACAAAAAAAAAGAGCAGCTGAACCCATGAATGAGGATGTAATGCGCTAAAAAAAACAACAACTCTTTGAATGAACATAAAAAAAATCCATGTAATTAAATTGCTTTATTTTCGCATCTTTACCAGGGTTGCAGGGGCCTTTCCCAAATGTGATAGGGTGAGAGCCACTGGACAGGTGGCCAGTCTATCACAGAGAGACAGACAACGGCACTCATAGATATTCTGGAAACACCTATTAACCTAACCCTAATTACTGCATGACTTTTAACTGACTAGAGTACCCAGAGAGAACCCACTGCAAACTTGGCCAGATTGGAGATTTGAACCCAAGATCTTCTTGCTGCGAGGCAACAGTGCTAACCACTGTGCCAATCTAGACTTCCAAAAAATGCAACTAACTACTCTTACTTGATTGTATCACGTCATCTCGAATAAATGAAGTTGCTGACTTTCATGCAGATCCTACATGATTAAATTACGTTCACCACAGAAACATGAAATAATTTTCTTCACACTACAAGTTTGAATTTTTTTTATCTTTACCCATCCATAAATAGTCTGTATATAAGTAATGATTAAAACAGAAGGCATTAAAACTTATTATTGAGCTGTACATGAAAAATCATGTTTAGTACTGTAGGAGAGCAGTTTAACGGTGAACAAGTTCCCTGAAGATAAATTGTATAATGACACAGAAATTTTTTAAACACAACAAAAATGCATTTCTTTATTTCCTTACATGTTCAAACTGCTCACTTTATACAAGGGTCCGAATAGCTTAATCCTGTTGTTGCTCCACTGGTGAACTATGTGAATTATGTGAAATGTGTAAACAAACGGCCTTTCTTTGTTACGCTGAAGCCTAAAACTGATACTCTGCTACTTCACATATTTATATGTTTCTTATAGCTAAAGTAGTTTGCACGACGTCCATCAGCTCTGATTAATGAACTTAGAGATGGTGAAAGCAAACGACAGGACAGAGGGGAACACATTATCAGATAAAATGACT